CCCAGACTGGAGTGCAGTGGCTGCTTCCGGTCACCACAGCCTCGACCTGCTGGGCTCCGGTGATCCCTCCGCCTCAGCCTTCCAAGTAGCCGGAATTACAGGCATGCGCTACCATGCTCGGCTCATTTTTTGATTTATTGTAGAGATGAGGTCTCGCTGCCCAGGCGGGCCTCGAACCCGCAGGCTCAGGCAATCCGCTCATCTCAGCCGAAATATTCTTAATAGAGCATAAAGCAAGGCTTCCTAGAGATGGTGAAGCCCAGCTGAGATTTTGGCTTATTTCAGCTCCTCAAACACGTTCTACTCCTTTCACTTCAGGCTTTTTTTTTTTTTTGGAGTTGGGATCTCACTCTGTTGCCCGGGCTGGAGTGCAATGACCATGATCATAGTTCACTACAGCCTCCAACTCCTGTGCTCAGTCTCCCAAGGAGCTGGGACTACAGGCACGTGCTGCCCAGTTAATTTTTTAATTTTTTGTAGGCATGGGTCTTGCTCTGTTGCCCAGTCTGGTCTTAAACCTCTAGCCTCAAGCGATCCTCCCACCTAGGCCTTCAAAGCCCTAGGATTATAGATGTGAGTCACCATACCTGGTCTCACCTCAGGCCTTTGTTCATGCTGTTTCCCCTGACTCAAAGCCTCCTCCTTCCCTACCTGCTCCTCCCCCAATTTAAACATCCCTTTCTCAGAGAAGCATTTCTTGATCTCCATGTCTAGAAAGGGTCTCTCTGCTATATATGCTCATAGCACCTGTTTTCCTTTGTGGCACCAATCAAAGTTATCACCAGACAACTAATTGTGTCAACTTGATTCTTCATCTTCCCTTATAGGATATACACCCTATAAGGGCAAGGATATGTTTAAGGTCATGGTTTCCAGTTCATCACCATATCGCCTGTTTCTGGTGTGATTCCTTGCATGATGTAGATGCACAGCTGATAGTTGTTAGATACATTCATAACTTTAAGATAGGATTTAGGGAAAGATGTAGGGCAGGGAGGACGGTGGAGAAGGAGACAAAGACAGAAATGTGAGGCAGGGAGAGCATCATGAACCATGTTCTGAGGCAGTAAATCCTCTAAATGACATCTGCACAACCAAGGCAGTGTTTGGGGCTACTGAACTACACTGGTTAAAAAAAGAGCAGGAAGCCGGGCTCGGTGGCTCAGCCTGTAATCCCAGCACTTTGGGAGGCTGAGGTAAGTGGATTGCCTGAGCCCATGGGTTCGAGATCCTCCTGGGCAACTTGGTGAGACCTCATCTCTACAATAAAATCAAAAATTAGCTGGGCGTGGTAGCGCGTGCCTGTAGTTCCAGCTACTTGGAAGGCTGAGGCCGAAGGATCACCGGAGCCCAGCAGGTCAAGGCTGCGGTGGCCGGGAGCGGCCACTGCACTTCAGTCTGGGTGACAGAGTGAGACTCCAACTCAAAAAAAAAAGCAGGGGGAGCTTTGCTGGAAGAAACAATCGCAATCTCATATTTCCCTGTACCTATATCTATCACTATGAGCTCCTTCACTCATTCAACAAGTATTTATTGAGTAGCTAGTTTGTGCCAGATGCCTCCTAAGCACTGGGGAGTCAATGAATGTTCTTATTTGGAACTAAAAGTTCCACTCTTGAGAGTAAGACCTGTGTCTTGTTTATCTCAAGACCTACACAGTGCCAAGCAAAGTGTCTGACATGTCACAGGCACCCAAAACATCCAGTGGAAAAAAGTAATAAAAGTATGAGGGTAGTGAAATGGCAGGACAATCTCTGACACTAACAGAATTGAAAAGAGGGGTCCAACAACAGCCAGCCTGGACTGGCCTTGCACTGCTCAGACCCTACCCAGTTCCTCGCCCCCTGTGCTCCTGGCAGTCCTATGCCCACCCACCATTATCCCTCGGGTTCCTTCCCTGCCTGTATGAGCTCACACTAGAGATGGAGACAAAGTGTCAGTTTCTTTGCTGCAAGTGGAAAACAGAAATGGAAGTTCCCTCATTGAGCCTGTCCAGGCTACGGAAAAGGAAATGACCCCTGGTTTTTGAGTTGGTTTGTTGAATACATTTTTCCCAAAAACATATTACTAAACATAGCCATTAGGTTCTCTAGTACTATTATCATTGTTCTTTAGATAGATTTTTGACCAAAGGCAACTTTGAGAGTTAACTTGGAGGCCTTATATGATAATGTTCCTCAAAGCAAAATGTTTTTCCAGTTTCTATCATCGGTTTGTAGACTTCCCAAAGCTAAATATAAGCAGTCTGAATTGCACATTTCCTTATGTGTACATTTACCCTAGGGAAAAGGCTTGAGGCAAGGGCGGTGCCTTCACTGAATCCTCCCCAAGAACCCTACACAGTCCAGCATGTCTGCTGCACCTTACTCATCAATGCCTATTGAATAAGAAGCTAGAAACTGAATTTGGATGTCTAACTTGACCTTGTTCATAGCAGTTTTGGAATATTTTGACCATGAATGCGAATAGCTGTCACTGTCATGCTGCCTCACGTCCAAGGTTTCTATATCATTAACACAAAAATTGCACCACAGAGAAGACCTTTCAGACCATGTGACTTAAGTCATTCAGGGAAGGCTGTCATCTGGTTATGGCCCACAGCCTGACTTCAGTCTGGCATCAGGAGCAGCCCAGGTGACACTTGCTCGCTCTGGCCTGAGGAACTTCTGCATTTGCCTCATGACCCTGAGGGTGACTGCATGTTTGGCTTTCTCAAGCTTTTCCCATGTCCACTTTTGTCTGTAACTAGCATGTAACTAGTGTGGTTAGGGAAAAAATAAAACAAACTTTGAGCATTTCATCTTAACTGATTTCCTTTTCTGGCTTTCATTTTTAGTCTCTTGTTGCCTTTTTTCAACCTTCACCACAGAAGTTGACCAATGCATTCAACTTTCAACTCCCTCATGTTGTTTTGCATCGACATTGATATTCATGAGTCTTTGGTTTTCAACATGTCACTTCCATCTTAATTTTGCTCACTTTCCACTGTCAGAGCTACATTTCCTTATACAGTCTACAGTCACATCAATAGACAAGATGCTGCTGTCTAGACAAGTGAAGCAGCTCCTCACCTGGGCCCACCTCACCTGCCCAGTGCCTCAGTTGCACAGGTTTCAATCATATCCGCATCATCTCTCTAGGTCTTGGATCTATGCCCCTGTGAGCACCAAAGACCTCCTCCACCAGGACTCTGAAGCTATTCATGAGCTTAATATCCACAAAGCACCCTATGTTGCCTTAAGTGAGGAGACACACAGTCAGAGCAAGGCAGCAACCTGTATTCATTTCCACCGATTATAGCATTTGGCAACATACATGGTCACATTTTGCAATAGTTCATCTATAAGCCAGCTCTGATTAGCATGAATCCTTAAAGAATGATAAATTGCCTCTAGTCCTATACAAGCAGTCAAATCACCCAAGTATCAGATTCTCCGAGTATTTGGAAGAATGCCCGTCTTTATAAAAATTGGAAAAATTGAATCAGAAAGAGATGAACATGTTTACACAACCGTCAACACCATCATTAACACTGTCATCATCTCTCTCATCTCTATAAAAAATGGTGGATGGGACAGACAAGATTTCTAGGGATATATAGTTCATAAATGTGGATAGACTTATCAAGAACAAATATATTAATATGAAATAATTTAATACAAGAATTACATATAATTTTCATTTGTACAAATAAAAAATCTATTTGCTTAGCCTTATACAGCTAAAAAAAAATGCTTCATGCATATGAGCTTAAAAAAGTTCCTTAACCTTAAAATGAAAATGAGCATTCCTGTTTACATACTACAAATCAGAGACATAGAACATCTCTGGGCCAAAGTTCCTGAGCTAGTGGTTGCCAGAGTCAGGACTAAACTTCCAGCCTTCTAACTATAGACCAAGATTTTCGTTATGCCATCATGCTGCTGTGAACAGGAAAGGGATACAGGATTTTCACATTTAGAGCCTGGATTGGAGTGACATTTCATTTATATAAAGAAGGCTTCCTAGAAAAGATTGGAGACGTTCTAAGAAAGCTTGCTATTTTAAGACAATATATTTTCTTCAAACCGTGGAGCAATATTTAAGGAATTCTGGCAAATGAATTTCTCTAGCAGGAGAGGTTAAAGCAGGAGGGGTTGTAGAGGATGTTCCCCACTTGTTATAGTCCATTTACATTTTAATAAGACAAGGTAGGGAATTGTATAGCCAGTTGCAAGAATAAATTTGAGTTGATGTGATCTGAACTGCAGTTTATCTTGCGCTAAAGTTCAAAGGCGCAATATCTGGGACCCATATCTGGAAATGTATGTGAGAATTCTCTAGCTCTGAGTTCCCATCTGGCTAGTAGGTCACAGCTCTTCTCACATGAACTGCAGCTTTGCAATCAGTATAAAAGTCTACAATTACAACCATTCGTTGGAATCCTCTCAGCAAAGGAGGACATTCCTTGGCTGGTTTAGAAAAACCAGTGCAGATTTGCACTGGGAAAGGAATGCAGTCTGGAAGAAGGGCCAATGATTAACAGATTAGGTCTCCTGTTGGCTAAAAAGGAATAAAGAAAGGCTTAAAAACATAATTCTGCCACAGCCTCAAAAATGCTTTCAGGAGGAGTAGTATGAGTGAGAAAGTGGGAAAGTGGTAGAAGCAGTCAACGGGAAACAATTAAACGGTAGAAGAGTTGGAATGAAGAGTTGCCTAGATAATGGATTTGAATCTTAATCCTAATCCCTTTGATCTACAGAGCAATTGCAACTTTCCAAGATGATTCAATATTTATTTTATCAAGTAATAAAAAAGAACTCAAGGCTGTCAGGCAGGCAGTCACCATTTCCATTTTATTAATGAAGATAATGAGTTTGGTGAGATTAAGCATTTTATCACTTTGCAGAGGAGAACCCAAAGTGGAAGAGCCTGATGTCTAGGCCTTATTTCTGATTTTCACTGGGTAACTACCTCCCCATGGAGGGAAAAGGTCTTCACTCAGAACCCTTGGGTAAGAGCAGAGGAGGAGGAAAAACAGCTGAAAAGCTGCTCCACAGAGAAAGATGATACTTGGGAAAGACAATGGCCAGTGGGGCTGGTGCCAGGGACTCTGGGAGGAAAAGGCTGGAGACGCCCGGGAGAAATATGATCGGGAACTGAACTGAGACAGTGCTCAGAAGATGAGCAGGGAGATGGAAAGGAAAAGGCAAGTTCTGGCAGTTGACAAAGCATGGAAGGAAGGGCAATGGCCTGTGGAAAATAACTCTGAGGCTTGCTGCTTGTGAAGCCAATGACATGCTGTCATTGCCCACTGCTCCTGTCAGGTAAATCCATTCTCTCGGGTAGGAACAGCCTTACAATTTCAGCAGAGATGCCCAACAGCTCAGGCATCATTTTTAAGCGGTGTGTTCGTCTCATATCAATGGGTGACATATAAGGATGCCGAGTGTGAGGTGAGTCAGAAGCCAGGAGCGCCTGGCACACCTGATTGAGGTGTCAGCAGAGGGGCCCAGGCCTGCCTCTGTGCTCACCTCCTGGATATTCTGCTTTGCTCGGCTGTCAGAGGGATGCATGATTGTCCCCATCACTTTCATGTTGCCACAGACAACCAGGGCTTCGTCCGGTGCATCTGTGTTTATTCCTACTCGACCATGACAGACAACAGATTCTGGAACTTGTCCTCGCTGCCATAATGCATCACTGTCATTTTCAAACTGCCCAGGGTTAGAGGCCTGGAAAAAAATACATAAATATATTACAATTAAAGTTACAGTAGCAGGAATAGATTATCACATTGGTCTTTGAAGCAAAGGAAAACAGAATGCTATCTAAAGTCTTTCATATGAGAATCTTACATTCGGTGGGACATTCCAACATATCCAAATAATTCTGGGACCCAGGAGAACCAGGGAGATTTCCCTAACCACCCTGCCTCCCCACCTGCAGGAGTTCTGTATGCCATGATTTGAAACATCCAATCTCTATTGCATCTCTGCATCCATTTGGAATTAAGAATGTGATCAATGATACTAGGTGGATGTAAAGAGGAAGAAAACTAAAAATGGCTCTTTTTTCAGGGATAATAATAATAACAGTGATTTAAAATCAGAACATTACACGAGAAAACATTACAGGTCTATTAAAGCTCAGATAAATAAAAATACCTTGCATTTAGCTAGCCCTTTTATAGTTTCAAAACATTTTTATATTTATTATTTTATGCACAGTTGACAAGCAAATGATAGTACAAATATATTTCATATACCTCACTATTCCCTAAACACAGATGGTACTGAAGGAAGAATAACAACAGCTCCATTTGTTGTGTGCTAATTCACACTGCAGTTCTATGAGATAAGTACTAGCATCCTCATTTTATTGATACTGACACTCTGAAAGGATAAATAAATTGCCCAAGGCCACAAAGCTAATAAATTCTGGAGCTGGAATTATACTTTCTTTGGTTATTAAATAATGAGTCTACCTTTGTCTATTTCATGACGTTGCCTAAAAGTAGTCCTGGCAGGCTTCAAAGAAAAAAGAAAATTGGACTAGACAAAGTTCTGGAGATTTTACTCTTAAATAAAATTCTTGACCAGATAATTTTCCACTGTACTGCCTTCTCTACCCCCCTGCTTCCTTGTAACCACTTAATATATCCCCAAATATCTTTAAGTAGGGATCTCTAAATCCCTCAAAATCCTCACAACAAAATTAATTTGTTTATAAAATATATGTTCTTCTAAATGCGGTTTTTTTGTGTTTGAGGCAAGTTGTTACAACTTTAGACAAAGAATTGCAATCCCAATCATCTGAAAAGTCAGTACTAATACAATTTCACCTTTTGCCTTTCTGGTGTTATAGGAGACATTACAAGTTCTGCACCTGAATATGCATGGTAGATTAGCTCTGAAGACTGCTCAGGTTACCAAGGTTTCTCTGAGGATGGAAATTGGGAGATATAGAAACTGGAGTGGGTGGGAGATTCACTGTTCTCAGTACACTCTCCTGGTATTGTTTGAGTGTGCTGCCACGTGCAGATGTTGCCATTTAAAATCATTAAAAGAGTTCCTCAGGGTATATTCCTGAAGAACTCAAATCACTCTATAGAAAAGATACCTGCACCCATATGTTTATCTCAGCATTGTTCACAATAGCAAGAACCTGGAAGCAACCATGCTGCCCATCAAAAGAGGACTGGATTAAAAAAATGTGGTACATATACACGATGGTATACTACACAGTCATAAAAAAGAACAAAATCATGAATTTCGCAGCAACCTGGATGGAACTGGAGTCTATAATACTGAGTGACCTCTCACAGAAACAAAGATCTGAGTATCACATGCTCTCACTCATACAGTGGACCTTGAACATCCAACGTAATACTATAAGAAAATGACTGACAGTGGTGGGAAACTATGGGGGGGTAGGGGAAGGGAGATGGGATTAACGGTAGTAAATATCTGTCTGGGGATGGGGAGACACCTCTTATCAACAAGGGTGCCTGAGTGATGCATATTTGTATACCTAGCCCTTAACTGTACCCCACAGTATCATAATAAAAAATATTGATTAAAAAAAAGAAAAAAATTTTAAAAATAAAATAAAATCATTAAAAGAAACCACAAGGTTTAGTTCTTAGCTTGGGTTCAGTTAAGGAACTTTCAGGTGTCTTCAACTTCCTATTTCATTCCCACCTGTCTGAACCCTCAGCAGGATGGAAGACTCAGCCATTGACACTTGACAGACAGAAAGCAGCGAAAGAATGTAAAGTACTGACTGGGAGTGTGGGGGAAAAATATACAGTAACAACTTTGAATATTATTTTGTGTGAATTCACTTGAACAAAGAGCTTTTCTGCAAGGTCCCCAGAGCCCCTTGGTTGTGAATGGCAAATTGGCTTTGACTCAAATCCTTTTATAGCAAGCAATCAACTAAATCCAAAGGTATGCCCTCTGAAATGGTAATGCATTTTGCTCTATTCTGAACATAATGAGCCATTTCAAGGAGACAAAATAAGACAGTGATGGATTTTTTCTTAATGACCTTTGGGATAATTATTATCATGTTGGTAACTTGACACTGGAGCAGCAGATACAAGTAGATTTAATTTTTTGGAACAATTGCAACATTCTCACTTGGTTTTCATCAGATGAAAATTCAAATTCCTAAAATATGTTCAGATCATTTTGGAAAGGGTCACAGATCTACAGTGTTCTAAATATATAGCCCTAGGGAGAGGTCCTCAGCAGTAATGAGAAATGTTGTTATAAAAATCTGTGAATTTATTTCCTTTCTTTGGAATCCCCAGTCTTCGTGTGTCAAAGCAAGCTGCAATAGACTACCTCATTCTGTATTTATGAGACTGTATTCACATGTGGCCCAGTAGTGGTTGCTGGATATCAAACACCAAAATGAATTGATTAAAATTTCTAAAATACTTGTAATAATTTGTCTCATCGTCCCATATATTTACAGACAAGACCCAAGCATTCTAGTCTATCATATAACATAAACTGATTGTGTGACCTTGGGGCAGACACTTAATCTTTCTGTACCAGTGCCCTCCTCTAAAGAAGAAAGACAATAATGATTGTGGGATTAATTGAACTCACGTGTGTGTGAGCAGTTTGCAAAATTGAGGATGAATACTCTCAAACTCATCCTCAGCACACTCTGCCAGATGCAGCAGCTACTGGTTAACCTATAATTGCTTAATCTATTCTCCGCAGCAACCCACCTGCAGAGTTGCACAATTCTGGGATGCTGTCCATAAAAAATACAATGTAAATGGCGCCCCCTGCAGGTGCCTGGAATAGGAAACAGCATCAGTAGGAGTTGAGGCCCCCCCTAAGTTTGGAATAAAAAACTGGAATTGTTTTTTTTTAGTTTTACCATTGTTTGAGATTCGAAAGCAACAGACAAAGGGCTAATAGGACACTTGACCTGAGGCAGGCAGCACTGAGGAAATCAATATTTGCACCTTTTGGAGGAGCTATGGAAAATGGGCCTAGAAATATTCTCTACCAATGCTACTCAAAGCGTGATCTACAGGCTAGCAACATCAGCATCTTCCGGAAACTCATTAGAAATACATTTCCTCAGGCCTCCCTGACCTATGGATCAAAAACTCTGGGAGTGGAATTCAGGTATCTCTGTTTTTTACAAGCTCTAGGGGATTCTTATTCATAATACAGGTCTGAGAACTACTACTTTATGCCATATACTCCGGATCATGATTTACCTCTCCCATAGTTGACAGAAAGCTCTGTTGAGTCCCAAACATACAGGGGTGTTCATGTGTGTGTGTGTGCATGTAGGGAGTGTGTGAGTGTGTGCATGTGCATTGGGGGAGAAGGCAGGTAGGTCTGTGGTCAGAAATGGGCACGAATATCATAGGAAAAAAACCAAAACACAAAAAGCTGGTTCTTTCAAGAATTAACAAGATTGATGAACCCCTAGCCAGAATGACCAAGAAAAAGAGAGAAAAAGCCCAAATAAACACAATCAGAAATACAAAAGACCAAATCACAACTGACCCCAAAGAAATACAAAAGATTATCAGAGATTGCTAGGTGCACCTATATGGAAACAAACTTGATAACCTAAATGAAATGGAGGACTGTCTGACATCACACAACCTCTCCAGGTTGAAACAAGACATTGAGACACTAAATCAACCAATAAAAACCCAGGAAATTGACTCCCTCATAAGAAAACTACCTACAAAAAAAAAAGCCGTGGACCGGATGACTTTACAACAGAATTCTACAAAATGTACAAGGAGGAGCCGAAACCAATCCTATTGAAAGTATTCCAGGCAATTGAAAAAGATGAAATTCTCCCTAAATCATTTTATGAAGCTAACGTCACACTGATACCCAAACTGGGTAAAGATCCAACAAAAAAGAGAACTACAGGCCAATATCCCTTATGAACATAGATGCAAAAATCCAGAAATGGACACGAGCCAGTGAATGTGAGGCGTCTCTGTTCTGCCCTCATCTCCTACCATTCTTGTAACTGCATAATTACATCTTCTTCCCAGTCACAGGGTTTGGTTTCCCACCTCACGGCAGTGTGATTTACAGGGCAACAAAGGGGGCGTCCTTGGGGATGTGCCCATTTCTATTGTTCTGGAAAAGAAACTGGAATAATGTACTAGTTCCCAAAATGAGTAAAGCCTAGCGTGTCTTTGAAAGGCAGACAAAAGTAACCATCTCTCCTGCTTGCAACACTGCACTCCAAACCAGGTTTAATGAAGTGTTTGAGAAGGAATGTGGAGCCCAGACACTAACAAGGGAAATCTGGAAGAACTTCACTGGGGAATGCTCCCAGAAACAAAGACCTAAGAAATCAACCCGTTCTTTGGAGTTAACCTTAATTTCCATTAAATTGGTCCATTTATATACTGCGGGAACATACTATATTTCTAAAGTTGTTTTGATTGACAACCCAGAGGAACAATTACCTAGTCACAACCACCATTCTCTCCCCAAGGCTGATGGTCTCCTGGACTCCTCCTAAAGGTCAGAAGCTCATCTAGGTCTGACTCTCAAACCATCACTCTTCCCAAACAGTGAAATGCTGATCTCTGTCATTTGGAGGAATGGTTCTTAGGCCACAACATGGATCTGGACTTGCTTCAACGTAGCTTGGATTTCTCCATTTATTGTCATGTTTTTAGTTGACAAATTTTTCATCCCATTCTTCATTCTGGAGCTCAAGCCAACAGAAACAGGCCGTGGCCTAAGAGGCCACATCTGGCTGTTTTGTAGAACATAGGCTGGCCTGTCCACTGCCCAAGCCATACTCATACAGCTATATAGGCCCTTCTAGAATCTTGGGGTCAGGAATGTATTTTGTGAACATTTCTCACACTTCCTAATTCAAAAATACTGACATTTCCTAAGTAATTAAGTAGATTGAAAAGTCTGCATTCGTTTTCACTTCTGTGCTTTGCAGTTCAAATGAAATAATATCAATAAGATATTTCCAGTTGGGGGAATGAATGGTTTGTGTTAGTGTTACTATTATTATTCTCATTGCTCTTGGAGTAACTGTTATGTTACTCTGCACGCTTGTAGAATATTTAACAAAAAATGATAGCTAGGAGAAAGCTACTGAATATGGAAGACAACAATTTTTTAAAATCAAAATTTAGTGAATAACATGACACCCAAACTATGCTGAGTACAATTTAATATCTTTGGCATTCATACTGAATATGAATTGCAGAAACTTTCAACTTCTCATAGTCATCATCATGAACTAATCATCACTGTGCTTTGGATATGAGGAGGTGCCGATGAACAGAGAGATTTTGGTTAACAGAAGCTCCCTTACTCCCTGGGTTGCTGTGGTGTGGACTTGCACAATTGCCATGCAGAACTTGGCAGGAGCTTCCAGCAGCTCTTGGGGAAACCTTGTCACTAGGTAAATTATTCAAAGTATGCAGGTACTAGCAGACTGTGTGTCTCGAGCACGAATTACACAGCACAGGACAGCACTGTCATGATGTCTAATCTAAGCAAACTCCGAAAAGAATGGTATTATCTGTCTTTATTCCTTCCTATGAGAAATCAAAAACAAGCAACGTAGGTTTCCAGACTTTACTTTTAAATCAAATTTGTTAGCCCAGCAAAACAATCCCAGATAGCATCGGGTGAGATGTCAAAGACCACCCTGACCCCTGCTGAGGGATGGATGGGCATTTCTGTGATTGGCTTTTGACTAAAGGAGAGGGCCCTGCCTGCCTCTGCCCCAGAGGAACTCAGTTGCCTCAGGTTGTCAGACCCCACAGGGCTTGCGCGCCCAGTTATCACTTTGGAAAAACTGAACATGTAAGTGTTTCTACCTCATTTCTATCATTACTTCACCCCCGTTAAAACTTTGAGACATAGTCGAAGGGTTTCTGCTAATAGATGGATTATTATTTTTAGCTGACTAAAAGAACTACAGATGGCCTTCTGTTTCAGAGTAGCTCAAGGCAGGTGAGGAAAAACTTCACTTCCCTAAATGCACAGATCTCCACAGGGCCTGAGGCTAACAACCACACACGTGAACAATGTTTCCTTTTGGGGTCCGAATGTCTTCCTGTGTCACTTCAAACACCCACGACAACAAAGCCCCCCCAAGGGCTGCCAGGCCTGCGATTACCTCTTACCTCATGCCCCCGGCATGTTCAGCCGTGGCCAACCTGACCTCATACAACTGCAGTTGTAGCTGCCAACAGAGTTGTTTTGTGGCCATCAAGACTCCCCTCCACAGCTGTGACCAATCATTCATTCAGCAAAATGTGCTGAGCCCACCATAATTATGTACTAGGTCAGCGGTCCCCAACCTTCTTGGCATCAGGGACTGGTTTCATGGAAGACAATTTTCCCATGCACAGCGGGTGGAGGAATTGGGGGAGGAAGCACCATCAGGCATTCTCATAAGGAGTGTGCAACCTAGATCCCTTGTACACACAGTTCGCAATAGGGTTCGCACTCCTATGAGAATGTAATGCTGCTCCTCATCTGACAGAAAGCAGAGCTCCTCTCGCCCACCACTCACCTCCTGCTGTGGGACCCAGTTCCTAGCAGGTCACAGACTGGTACCAGTTCCCGATCTGGAGGTGGAGACCCCTGTGCTAGGCAGTGGCCCAGATGCCCTGGTACCACCAATCACTTTGGGGCATGAAATGCCTTCCTACCACTTTGTCCATCCTGGCTCCATTGTTCACAAACCATGTGATCATGGACGAGTCACTCAGTCTCTTAAGCCTCAGTTCATCTCGGTGTAAAGAATGTGAAGGTATAACAATGTAAGGTGGTGTCATATATAAATTATTTAGCTCAGTGCCTGAAACAGAGAGTAAGGACCAGGGTTTCTCAACCTCAGCACCACTGGCATCTTGGGCAGTATAATTCTTTGTTGTGGAGGTTGTCCTGTGCATTGTAAGACATTGCACAGCATCTCTAGTCTCTTAGAAGTCAGTTGTGACAACCAAGAATGTCTTCAGATATTGCCAAATGACCCTTGGAGGATAACATTGCCCTAGTCAAGAACCACTGTGTAAGAACTAGAATAATGTTTTCAGCTATTAAGATGCTTATCATTGAAATAGCATACTTCAAGCATGCCATTCTACCTACAGGGGAGAGAAGCATTTAGGATCCAGAAAAATCAGAAAACTGAGCTTACCCTTACAATGATCCTTTCAGAGATGTGGGCAGTCAACAGATAGAACTGGTCTTGGTTAGCAGCATACAGTCCAACCACCAACATGAAGTATCTAATTCAGAGACAGCAGACCAATGCCAACACATCAGGGAACAAAGACATAAGTTGTATAATCAAATGCCACCCAACGGTTCATCAATAGTAAATTTGCCTAGACACGTTTGCTTATTTATCTATTTACTTTGTTTGGTTTCAGTGTTTTGAAATGGAGTCACCCAGGTTGCAGTACAGTGGCATGATCATAGCTCACTTCAGCCCCGAACTCCTGGGTTCCAAGTGATCCTCCCACCTCAGCCTCCTGAGTAGTTGGGACTACGGGTGTGCACCATGATATTCAGCTAGTTTTTAATTTTTTTGGTAGAGATAGGGGTCTTGCTTTGTTGTGCAGGCTGGTCTCAAATTCCTGGCCTCATGCCATCCTTCTGCTTTGGCCTCCCAACATGCTGGGATTTCAAGCATGAGCCGCGCCTGGCCACTTGCTTACTTGAAGATTGCCCTTTCCATTCATCTCTAAGTTGTCCTTCCAGTGAAACAAGAGTAGTTGATTCACTTGCTATTGTTCTGGATCAGTCCTTTGCCCAGCTGGAGTTATTTGTGAGCTGTTTTGTAGTAGCCAAAGCAGCAGGAAAGCAACCCTCCCTGGGGAGACATCCTAGCAGGGGCCTGGGCTCAGTCAATCTGTGCAGACTCAGCACAGGCCTCTCCATGTTGCATTCCTGGGCTGTCAGCACAGCACCACTCACAAACACAACTTAAAGACCCCTTAGAGATCCCTTTGTTCAGAGACGCACATGTCATGTGACCTAGGCCACTCCCGGCCACCGCAGCCTCGACCTGCTAGGCTCTGGCTATCCTTCTGCCTCAGCCTTCTGAGTAACCAGAATTACAGTCATGCGCTACCACACCCCGCTGATTTTTTGATTTATTGTAGAGGTGAGGTCTCGCTGCCTGGCGGGTCTCAAACCCGCGGGCTCAGGCAATCCACTCACCTCAACCTCCCAAAGGCGCAGGATTACAGGCTGAGCCACCAAGCCCAGCTATAAATTTTTTAAAAAGAAAAGCTTTTGCTCCAACAACTTCACTAAAGACTTCACCAAATTTCCCTGTAATATTCTATAGATTCTCTAACTCCTAGAGAAAAAAAGTTCTTGCCTCTAAAAGAAATCAATAAAAATAATAATTGTTGGCCAGGCTCAGCCTGTAATCCCAGCACTTTGGGAGGCCGAGGCAAGTGGATTGCACGAGCCCGCGGGTTTGAGACTCACCCGGGGAACTTGGCGAGACCTCATCTCTACAATAAATCAAAAATTAGCTGGACGTGGTAGTGCGTGCCTATAGTTCCAGCTACTTGGAAGGCTGAGGTGGAAGGATCGCCGGAGTCCAGCAGCTTGAGGTTGCAGTGGCCGGGAGCATGCCACTGCACTCCAGTCTGAGCAACAGAGTGAAACTCCAACTCAAAAAATAATAAGAAGAATTGTTACCATTAATATTATTAGATATTATATTGAGTACAAAATGTGTCATGTACTGGGCTAAGAAGTTAACCTACACTATTTTATTTAAATTCCCATAACAACCCTTCCAGAGTAGGATACTGTTATTGGCCCTATTTTACAGAATAGGAAAATGAGTCTCAGAGAGGTTAAGTTACATGCCCTAGGCCACCCAGCTAGTAAGCTGCCAGTATCAAATATTCAGACTCAATTCTGTCCAATTCTAAAACCCATGTTCTAAAGTCAGTGGTTTTCAAGCCTGAGCATGCTTCAGAATCACCTGGAGGGCTTGTTAAAATACACAGCACTGGGCTCCATTCCCAGAGTTCTTGATTTAGTAGGCCTTTGGTGAGGCCCAAGAACTCGCATTTCTAACAAGTGCGTCACCATCTCTACTTGCCCTGGGACCACACTTTGAGAACCACAGGTCTAATTCATGAAGACAAACTAATTTTCTTTTTTCACTCACAAAGGTTATAGCAGAGCTCCAAGACTCAGAGTGTTATCCTAAATACCAGCACACAGGTTTGAGAAATGCAGTCAACTCTCAACCCTCAAATGTTCATGAGACATGAACATGTGGTCACTCTAGACAATTATGGCGGGAGTCAAGGTAGGCAGCATTAAGGCTGGGCACGGGGGCAGGCATTGTGGGGAGTGAGCATGGGTGAAGAAAGACACCAGGGGTAGAGGAGACATGTTAATAAACTGAAAGGGTCAGCAAAGGGACAAAAGTGGCTTAGGGAGGCCCGTGTGCTGGCTGGTAGGCCCAGGAGGATGATAGGGACTTCAGGAAGACATCTCCTGGCCAGGTAAAGTACCCGGTCCCCCTGCCGTGTACACAGTGATACCAGTACCTCTGGTCAGGATTTGGTTTTCCCTTCTTTCTCATATTATTTGCTGTTGTTTCACTGAAGTGTAATCTTCCCAGTGTTACTTTGGTGACCTGGTCAGACAGTATGTCGACCCTAAAACAAACAGCAAAAATATCAAGAGAAATATAAGAACACACAGTCTTTCTTCGTATCTAACCCATGGTTAGACTCTCAAGTATACTTAGTCCCCCATTCTCTCACACTGCAGAGAATGGTTTATTCTAGCCACTGACTATTAACCAACAACCACAACATGATCAGGACTAACTGCCAGGGAATAACTCGAATGGTAAGAAATGCTCAGTCAGCAGAAGCTCATGCCGAAGTTTCTGACTCACAAGGCTCTGTGCTCCACATACATGGGTATGGGGTTTTTTAACTTCAGCAATGGGGAGAAAGACATTTCATTTGTGCCGTTGCCACTGTTGCAATAATGCTCACCTCCTAACTGAAGCAATTTCTCTAGGTGCCTTGTGAATGTCTTTGCATTTCCTTCAGGTGTTTGCCTCTCCTGGTCTCCCAGGGGGAGGCAGCTTCCTCTGAAGGAAGGCCACATACAGCCTGCCCAGGCAAGGGAGAACTGGAGGTAATAGGCAGGTTTAGTGTAGTGTTTTACTAGTGGCTTCTGCTCTGCTGTCTTTTCATCCCAAATGGGGTTGACTTGGGGTCAAACACTGAGAAGTCTCTACTGACAAGTTGGTGAAAAGGCCAATCCTATACCGAGTCATCCTACAGAGAGGAATCTAGCTTTGGCCTGCCATATTGCTCTGGATACTGCCAGTTGTTTCTGTCTTGGAACCCAGTAGGAGTAGCTTTTTAAAATGTAGCCTAAAAAAATAAATTGTAAGCACAGCATGGATCTCAGACCTTGAAAATAATTCAATCAACATCATGCTGATTTAATTGAAAAATGAAAAGTAAGATCTAGTCATCATCTATCTCAAGGAACCAAAGTTGTCAGTAAGGTTATTAGCACTGTTGCTAGTAATATTATAAAAGCAATGAAGACTTTTTAAATGGATCTTTTTATGAAGAGTTTTTGCAATGATTGTTACCAACTTTATTTTTGTTGATAAACATATGTCCATGATATTAACATAATATTACTAATTTTGATTCCACAGTGGGTTGCATTTTAAATAAGCAACATAAATTAGGTGACAGGTCTTCCCAAAACATTCACAGAGGAATTCAGAATAGAAATTCTTACTTAACAGGATTGAAAATCTTTTTGCTCCTGTCTGCTTGGGATTGTTCAATAGCAATTATTTGATTGGTAGCTTCTACCTGTAAGGGACAACAAAAAGTAAATTAATTAACTTATTTATAAAAATGTTAATTAGTAAAGAGTGCTCAAGTACTTAAAAGGTTTTCCAAAGCATCAGGCAAGGTGCTAGGCAGGAGAGTCAAGTCACTGACAAGACACATAAGACAATGGTCCCTACCTTAAAGCAGTGTGCCATTGGTGAGAAAAGAAATAAATACCTGTGAAATTGAACAGTGAGAACACAGGACAGCAGAATCTTTCAGGTAAACAGTGAATACTAGTAGACGATTGAAATATCAGAAACAAAGCATTAGGAGTAAAGATGTTCAAAGGCTATGTGCATGCATTCATTCATGTATTAATTCCCTCTGTAAGCACTTATAGAGCACCTACTATGACCAGGCACTATTCTGGACATTAGAAGTGAAAAGTGAACAAAATTAACAAAAATACCTGCTCTTGGGGAGCTTATTCTAATATGAAAAACCAATGATATACAACATAAATAAATAAAATATACGAAGTGACATTTATTCAGCATCTGCTATATACTCTTCTTATTATTCTGTAAATAGTGGCAAGGGCATGTGAGACTAACCCTGTAATATAAAGCTTGTGAGTGTTCACATTGTAACAATCTTTCTGGAAAGCAGTTGGGCAGCTATATCAAGAGTTTTAACAAAGTTTGCATCATTAATGCATAAATTCCCCTTCTGGGATTTATCCTCATGCAAAAATGGATGTACACAAATGATCACTGCAGTTTTATTGACAGCAATAAAAAAATTAAAAATGAACAAAGCTCCTAATAATAAAGGAATTACTATGATGCATCCATACAGTGAAAACCTATATCAACTTTGTAAACAATATTTGTATGGGGTCCTTAATAATATCATATGCTATTTTCATGATAGAAATTAATTTTAATATCAGGAAAAATCAGACTACTAAACAGTGGATCCCAAATATGAATGTATTTTATCTCTTCTTCATACATTTCTATTATGTTTTAGAATTTTCACAATGAATGCATATTATTTCCACAATCAGAAAAATAATGTTTTGTTGTTGTTTGTATTTTTATTGTTATTGTTTTGAGGGAGTAGTTTGTTTAAAAGCTCAGTTTGGAGCAAGAACAGTTGACGTGTGCAGCAGCCAAACCTTAGTGCCCAAATCCATCATAATAAAATATGTAGATAATGAATGCTTTTCCCCTTCAGTAACTGGATATAAGGCTATGATTTAATAAATACTTTCTGACCCTTCAGAAGTCATGCTACATGCAATCTAAACCCAGCTCTATCATTCACTATCTTGGATGAATTGTGTAACATTACTGGGCCTCAGTCTCCACTCTGTTAAACTAAATTAGTGGTGCCTTGGCTTTCTTTTAAGTCAAAGATCTCTTTGAGAATCTGGCAAAAACTATGAATCTATCCCATATGCAAATGCACCAGCATCCATAAGAATAAATTTAGTAAAAGAAGTACAAGATTTGTGTATTGAAAACCACAAAACCACATTTGAAGTAATGCTGTAACATTTTCTGAGCCCAGGCTTAAGAAATTGGTATCTTCCACTCCCTGTGTCTTGGAACACTTATTCTTAGAACCCACTCACCATGCTGTGAGGAAGCACAAGCTACCCCACAGAAAGGTACACATGAAGAAGAGCTAAGGCCTCTCAGTTAGAGCCTAATTTTGCTCCAGCTGATGAGCAGCCCAAACCTGACAGGCCTGTGAGTCAGCCATCTTGAAAATGGCCCAGTTGAGCCCTCCCAGCTATGACTCCTGAACAGAGGTAAATTGTCATAGCCATGCCCTGACCAGGTTGCAGATTCGTGACCCAAATAAAGGACTGTAATTATCTTAAGTTGTTGAATTTTGGGATAGTTTGTCATGCACCAATAGAACATTTTAATAAATATTGACAGATAAATTGAACTAAATAAAAGACATACCTTAATTCCAAAAGCTTTCAAGTAAAACATTTCTATTGGTATTAGGCCCATTTGAGTTTTAACAAATTTTGGACTTCCCCAAACTTGAATGTGGATAGTTATCTGAAAATGGTTCTTCTTTTGGCAAACAAAAGCTTCATCTGCTGGTGAAAAATTAAATCCTTTGTCTGTTACAACTCGATAACCCACATCAGGTCTATGAAAAGAGAGACCAAAAAACAGATTTTACAAATATTTTCTACACATTTGCTTTCATTAACAATATTAATTGTATAAACATTAAAAGAAAATGTACTGTGAAAAGTGCTTTTACTATATTTAATCAACTGATTTCTTAAATTTTTAATAAGGAAATGAAAATAGTATCTTAAAATGCAGCTGGCTGTCTCCTAGCTTTTTATCTTTTCAAAAGGAAGAAGTATAATTCTTGCCAAATGGAAGCATTGTTTTTCAGACTTCCCTTTGTGCTTTCTAGACTTTCAATTTGATTCCACAATACATTAGAAAGACAGGTTAGAAGCCGAAAAGTCAGCTCATTACTCACATTTGTACAATATCCTGGATAGATATTTTCTTTAAAAAACAAGTTTCTCAAAGAACTGAGTGCCACATGTTCTCACTCACAAGCGAACCTTGAAAAATTATCATAATACTATAAGAGAGGGATTGACAGTAGTGGGAAACTGCCAAGGGAGGGAGACTGGCAGTAGTGGGAAACTGCCAGGGGAAAGGGGCACACTTCATCAACAAGGCTACCTGCATAATGAACATTTGTATACCTAACGCTGAATTGTACCCCATGTCTTTAAAGTTAAAATTTTTTAAAAGTTTCTAAATTTCATCAGCAATGTCATACTCAGTACCTCAGATGAATAAATATTCATCTGAAAAAGTGGAGTCATCAGAATGACTAGAATAGCTTTGAATTCATATCGACCAGAGCCAGTCATACTACCAACTGGAAAACTGTTTTCACTAGAGTATCATCATTTCCTTTTATTCTCTCAATTTGGTAATAGCACTGAAAACCTATGATGGTGGTTACTCCTGCAGAAAGCAATGCAATGGTGGTGGGTGGTTAATCTTGTGCCTTTTTGTTTTATTGTGCTATTTTCAATAGCAGTGCTTTGTGTATGCTGGTTAAGTATCCTTAATTCAAAGATCTAAAATCTGAAAAGACTCCAAAATCCAAAACTTTTGAGCACCAACATGGTACTCAAAGGAAATGCTCATTGGAGCATTTCAGATTTCAGATTTTTGGATTACAGAAGCTCAAGTGGCAAATATAACACAAATATTCCAAAATCCAAGATCAGAAATGCTTCTGATTCCAACCATTTTAGTTAAGGAATACTCACCCTGTAATATATTTAATAAGATACTTTTAAAATGTTAATAAAAAGAAAGCATATTAAATGTGCAGCATTATCAAATACAGAGTATAAAAGTTGAAAACTTCTTTGGTGACTTTTTCTCATACATGTTGAAAATATGAAGCATGATTTTTAATTCATTGAGGTTCCTAAATGTTGGGTTTGTCTTTTTTTCTCAAGAAACCTCTTTCTCAGGACCACAGGCAGAGGAGGGCAGTACTCACTGCTCTGCCACTGCATGGACCTTTGCATCCTGAGATCTCAAGTTGGATGGTTGTCATTATAATGAACAACACAGAGTTTCTAAATTTTCTTCTAATTCCAGAAACAAGATATTGATGGGTCTCTTGGGAAAAGAGCATTGTGTTCTTTTCAAGTTAAGCACCTCCCCCAATGGATCAAGTTACTAGGTCATTGATTATCCTCAAGTAGCAATCAGTCAAAGGACCACAATTACAGTGCTGCCAGCAGCATAAAGAAAATCCACTGGACCTGATAGGAATAATTTTCTGCTTATTTTTGCCTTACATTGTAAAGTCAAAAAAAACTCTCCACAAAAAAAATGATAATTTGGCAGATGATAGATATATGAATTAGCTTGATTTAATCTTTCTACAATGTATACATATATGAAAGCATCACTTTGTACCCCATAAATATTGTCTTAGTCTGTTGTCTGTAGCTATACTAGAATACCAAAACAAAACAAAACAAAACAAAACTAAATGTCTTATAAAAACAAAAACAAAAATCCATTGAATGGAGCATTTAGTAAAGACTACATGTCTTCCATCTGGGAATTTCAAATTGACTCAGGTTTCTAGAATTAATCTGCAAATTTGAAAGGCTAGATGGCTACAGTTATATAGATTTTACTACACAGGGTAATAATAACTGTCTTGCTTGAGGGGAAAAAAAGACTTTTTTTGGTGGTGTTCCATGTTTCACTGTCAAAAACTCTGAATAAAAGAAAGTAAGGTTTCTAGTACAGACATGAGTAGTAGCCTGAAATTTAAGGATGGCTGTAAGCAGAAACTGAATCAACCAACAAGAATTATACTGCTGATGATTATGCTGAACCTTAAACACCAATCTTTGATTATATAAATCTATTCTATTTACCTAAGAATGGCAATTCTGCTTTTGATATCAGAAGTTAAGTAAAAAGTCAACTAAACTGGCTTTTTAAAAGCTCTTTGATAGCACAGGTTTGAAACATCATTCAGAAAAAAATATTTGATAAGTTTTTAATGCCTCAACTATTGCTTTGGGGTAATTTAGGGAAATAATATTTTTGCAAAAAATGTTAAACATAATTCTCTCAAAAAAAGGACATGTTTTTCTGTCTCAGTAATATAAATAGTGAAATTAGGAGCGCCTGAATTCTCATCTGGATAAATATTGCCTTCCTTTTTTGCTTAGGAAAAATGAATTGTGTATAAATGTCCTAAATAAATCTGCCTCCATACTTTTGAGTAGATACCTTTGTGCTCTCCTTTTTTTTTCTTTTAGATTATTGGAGCAGAAATAGGCTGTTTAAATAAATTTAAAATTATCTTTAAATAAAAGGAGAGATAACACTAACCTTGAAAACTTGATCAGCTTGATGCATAGAGACTGGGGAGCATTAAAGGTTTTAATTAAAACATTTTGCCTGTGTGTGAGAGTTTCGCACCTCAGTGCTCATATTTAAGATAGAACATAGAATGTTCTCCAAAAGATAACCAACTGAAGGCTCAGACTCAAAGCCAAAACCTACAGGCACTTCATTTCTTTTTCTAATTGCACAGAATAGACAAGACACAAAGTCATGACATTTCAATGATACAATTAGCAATTAGCTTCCTTTAGCCCCCTATTAAACACACCAGCTCCCAAAGTCTGCTTTACTCCCTAGATTTTGTTTTAAGGAAAACTTTTCTTCCTTCCAGTTCATCCAATATAAAAATCCTAGTGATAAGTTCTACTATATTTGAATTTGGAGAATACCAAAAAGGCTCTCAAGTTTATAGCCCAGTGAAAATTCTAGAAGACTTAAGTAGGTAAATTATATCCTGTAGAGTAAAAAGAAGGCTTGAATGATGTTTAAGAGTAATAATGCATGAGTCCACATTTATTCTTGAAACTATAATGTCATAAAAATAGGGTGAAACTTTTCTAGTTTTAGAATATTTTGTATGATTTTATTTCAGTCTCTTAATACAAAGAAGCCACCTACTATAATTGCTTCAGGGTATATTGTCAAAGAACTTGCCAATACTAATTTCCAGCACAGATGTCAGGGATGGTCACTGGCTAACAGCTTAATGTGGCCCTCAGAAAATATTCTACGGCATTATAAGTTAACTGCAGGATTCAATGTAGTTGAATTGAACAATCTCCATATTCCAGATTTTAGTTTAAACTGGGCATGTGATCCCAGAAAGATTCCTTTTTTCTTCATCACTTAGAGAGTAAATTATAATGAAATATAATTACAAGTCTGACTTTCTGGAGGCCAGAAACCCACGGTCCAACTATCTATTTGTTAGGATGTAAAACACAAAGAGGAAGGCAGACGCTTTCTTGTTGACCTTAACGTCCCAATACTTGGATTTAGCCCTGAGATTTGGCCCTGCATTTCTCCCCTCACTCTCCAGCCCACCCCAAGGTATTGCTAAGGCCACTTACAGTTTTTCGTAATGACTGTTTAGTAAGCTATGCCAAGGCACACTTCGGTACGGCTGCCACTTCAGAGCAGAAGCGCACAGGTCCACAGGCAACCCTTTCTGTCCCTCACTGTCGTGGTCCTGTACTTCATTGCTGTGACTCCCACTTGCCACTGCAAAGAAATAGTTGGGTTAGAGCCTTCCTACCAGACTGTTTTTCCCAGATTCACAGATAGCATCATGAAACTGTGAGTAGGCTGCCTGTGAGACAGAGTGACTGGGGAAGTGCCAAGCATGGGGAGGCAGGAGGTGTGCTGCTGGCCTCATGTCCTTATCTATAAAAGGAGCAGCCTGGAGCCAATAGTCTCGGAGGGGAGGTGGTGGACACTGTGTCCTCAACATCTATCTACCTTTCTCCCTGCTTAGCTTCTCACTTCCAGTCTGTACGATTCCAGTGAAGTCTACTCCAGGAGGGTAGATGAGGAAGTGTCAGGAGGGTGGGTGACCCGGCTTGGACAATCAAAGTACAGCATTAGGTACTTGCATCAATAATTGCATCAGGGGTGGACGTGTGGCCTAAACCAATCTAAGCAGAGTGGGTCTCAGCACTCCAGGGAATGTGAGTTCGAAGAAGCTCACTCTTCCATGAGGTTTGAACTTTAGAGATACACCCCCAAGAGCTGTTGACACCATTCTGGGACACAGGGGCAAAGCCCATCTAGGAATGAAGACAGTTTCACAGAAGGCAAAATTAAGAATAAAAGGCACCTAGTCCTGATGATGCAATCTGAGTTCTGAGATCCAGTCATAAACTCTTGTGTTACAGGAGCCAAGAGATTCCCTGGTTTGGTTTGGTTTTACTTTGTTGCCCAATGCAATTCGAAGTTTTTGGTTTGTTTTTGTTCATTGCAACCAATATATTCTAGTTTTTACAGGTCTTTCGTGGCACCAAGATCCTGTGGTCCAACTAGCTTTTTGAACTTAGAGAAGTTATTTATTCAGTTAGAGTCTTACTTCCCTCAATTGCAAAATAGAAATTAAAAACATGTGGCCTGCCATGTTGTAGCATTGCCCAAGCAGAGAGAATGAGGTAATAGAAGTGAATGCACTTTCAGAAGTTAAGAAAAACTAACAGAAAAGGTTTCGTTGGTGTGCAATATCAACTATATAAAATTGCCACTTTTGTATGTCAAATAACAGCAATTTCACATGTGCAGTCTACTATTTTTTGCATAATCCTTGCAAGTTGTTTGCCTTAATTTGAGCATACCTCCCAAACCATACAATCCAGCCTCAGATAATTTTTATGTAAAATGCTATTGATACATTTGCTGTTTCCTTTTTCTTCTAACTCCCCTGACATCACTCATGCCTGACACCAGGAGGGAAAGGGAAATGGTGGGCGTGCATGAGACCAGGTGCAGGCTGTCAGCAGTGACATAGAAAAGGGACATTTACTCCTAATAAATGTGTCCCTTTAGTCCACAACTTGGAAAATGCAGAAAATAGGGTCTGGGTTGTTTTTCACTCATCTAACTTTCCCTTTCTTCATATTTCCATTGACGACTTCCTAAAATAAATAATCAGAGCTGCCTCAAGTTGCTTTTGATCCCAAATGTCACACACAAGTCTTTTTCCTGGGGTATTGCTATTAAATGTCACCTAAGTGAAACATGCATTTTAAAATATTTATAAAGCACCCATTTTGGAAAGATTTCTCAAAATCCTGAAAAACCTTTTTCCAGCTAAGAACATTGGAGGTGGGTAATGCAAAGACCTCTTTGTGCCCTCACTCCTCCAAAAGCCACCTGGTCTAAAATCCTTTCCAGAAAGGGAAAAAGAAACCCTTCTTCCACCAAATTCAGAAAACCAGCGAAACGAATCCTTCTTTCTTTCCTTCCTCTCTCCTGAAGCGAAGGTTAAGAAGGGGTCAAGAGCTTGGAGTTTGGAATCAAGATAGACCTGCATCTGAATCACAACTCTACACTTAATGGCCAATCTTAGGAAAATGATCTAAACTCTTTGAACTCAGTTTCCTCTCCTGCAAAGTGGGAGTAACCCTGTGATCCCTCCCAGGGTTGTTGAAGGGGCTCAATAAGACAATGTTTACAAAGTGCATAGCACAGCGTCTGCCACGGCAAGAGTTTTAAATGGTGGTGCCTTCAGGTATTGTTAGAGACCCCGTCATTATCACTGTACTTGTTTCAGCTTATGTGACTCAGTAATTCCTAAAGAACCTTGGGAAATACCTCTGTTCTTGGCCTCCACATTAGCTCTGCCTGACATCAAATAACTAGCCCATGTACTTGACCAAAGACCAGCTAACTTGGGCCCTTTTCTACTCAAGAATGGCAGCAAGGTCAATGTGCCCAGGTCAGTATGCAGTCAAAAGACCACCCACCCCTCCAGACACTGATGGGATGTGGACAGGGGACAGGAGGCACTGTCCTCAAGGATAATGTCATTGCCTGCCCATTTCCATCATAACAGCAAGGGGATCAGAGCAGCCACTCCAACATGGGTAACATCATTGTTGCTTCCCAGGAAGATGGCTACCAGCCAGTAAAACCCCTGTGACCAGAATCTGAGATCACAGAAGTTCACATTGGAATTCCAGGCACAAGCTGAGTTTAATTCTGAGACATACTGCTATTAATACTCCTAATAACATCTACAACTCAGTGCCTTCTGCACCATAGGTGCTGTCCACTTTACATAGTATTCTACCAACTCCTTAAAGCATTTTCAAGGTAAGGATTCTTTTGTTCAATAAACTTTCTTCGTTGAAGTATACCGTACATGAAGAAGAGTCCGCAGATTATGGGTACACAATTTTATGCTTCTTTATAGTATGAATTCTGTGCAACTACCACTAGTTCAAAAAATGGGATGCTTTCAGCCCTCCAGGAGACACCCTAATGCCCCCTTCCAATAATTACTCTCTCCTGTCCAAGACTAACCACTATCCAGAAATTTAACATCATAGAGGAATTTACAGAACTGGAATCCTACGATATGATATGTATCCTTAAAGGCTGGCTTGTTTTGCCCAACATTATGATTGTGAGATTTCATCCATTTTTGTGGCAAATGTCAATCCTTTATTTATTTTCATTGCCATATTATACTCCATGGTCTGAATATACCACGATTTATTCTACTGTTGATGGTCATTTGGGATACTTTTAGTCTGTAACTACAAATAATGCTGCAATGGAGATTCTTATGCACATCTTTTAGGGGCACATGTACACATTTCTGTTAGGTATATTCCTGGGTGCAGAATCACTGTGTTATAGGATACAGTTTAGAAGATGTTGACAAACATTTCTAAAGTGGCTGTGAGGTAGGGATTCTTAATCTCATTTAGCAATTGTGGAAACTGAGGTTCAACCTGAAATAACTTGCCAAGTGTCACAGCTGTTAAGTGGAAAAGATGAGATTCAAACCTTCCTCTTCCCTTCATGCTAGACTGAAGATCTTTTGAGAAAATCAACAGAAGAGAGAAGTGTGAAGGCAGTTAATATAGTTTGGATGGTTGTTTCATCCAAATCTCATGTTGAAATGTGATCTCCAGTGCTGAAGGTGGAGCCCAGTAAGAAGTGATTGGGTCAAGTGGGCAGATTCATCATGAATGACTTGATGTTCTCACCATAATGAGTGAGTTCTCACTTTATTAATTCACACCAGAGCTGGTTGTTGAAAAGAGCCTGGTACCTAAGAATGGCCATCATTAATAAAACAAACAACAACAGATGCTGGCGAGGATGTGGAGAAAAAGGAATGCTTCTACACTGCTGGTGGAAATGCAAACTAGTGCAACCTCTTTGGAAGACAGTGTGGTGATTTCTGAAAGAACTAGAAATTGACCTTCCTTATGACCCAGCAATTCCCCTATTGGGAATATACCCGGAGGAGCTCAAATCATTCTATAAAAAAGATACCTGCACGTGTATGTTTGTTGCAGCTCTATTCACAATAGCAAAAACATGGAACCAACCATGTTGCCCATCGAAGCTAGACAGGATAAAGAAAATGTGGCACATATACACAGTGGAATATTATGCAGCCATAAAGAAGGACAGATATATGGACTTCGCAGCAACTTGGATAGATTTGGAGTCAATCATACTCAGTGATCTATCACAGAAACAAAGAACAGAGTGCTATATGCTCTCACTCATAAGTGGACTTTGAACAATTATAATACTATAAGAAAGCATTTGGCAGTAATGGGAAACTGTCAGGGGAGGTGGGTGGGATCAGCAGTTGAGGGAAACTGCTAGGGGAGGGAGGGCATACCTCATTAACAAGGGTACCTGCATAACCAATGTTTATATGCCTAACCCTGAATTGTACCCCACATATGTATAATTAAAACATAATAATAATTTTAAAAATAAAAAAATAAAAGCGCCTGGTACCTACCACTCCATCTCTTGCTTCTGCTCTCTCCATGTGACACCCCTGCTCCCTCTATTGTAAGCTTCTTAGGCTCTTACCAGAAGCCCAGAAGATGCCAGTGCCATGCAGAAACTTGAGTGAAAACAAACCTCTTTCTTTTACAGATTATGTCACCTCAGATAGTTCCCTTTTTTTTTCTTTCCAATTTTGTATATGATTTATTTATTTTTTAAATTTTAAGTTGTGGGGTATATGTCAGGATTGTGTACATAAAAGGTTTAGGTATAAGTGAGGTTTTGGGCCTCCTGTTGGATCTCACTTTGCCTGGATTAGGAGCAGTCACCCTTATTGATGTTATGTGCCCCTCTTCCCCTAGCAGTGTCCCACTAATGCCAATCCCTTTTTTGTAATATTATGATAGGTGGCTCAGGGTCCACTTATGAGTGAGAGCATGTGGCACTCAGTTCTTCGTTTCTGTGACAGATCACAGAGTGTGATAGACTACAAAGCCATCCAAGTTGCTGTAAAGTCCATAATTTTGTCCTTCTTTATGGCTGTGTAATATTTCATCATGCATATATACCACATTTTAAAAAATCCATTCCAGCTTCAGTGGGCAGCATGGTTGATTCCATGTTTTTGTTATTGTGAGTAGTGGTGTAACAAACATGCATGTGCAGGAATCTCTTTTGTAATATGATTTGAGTTCCTTTGGGTATATTCCAAGAAGGAGGATTTCTGGGTTTTTGGAAGGTCAATATCTAGTTAT